CAGGGATGGGGGAGTCAGGACTGCAAAGGGGCGACGGGAGGGAATCTCGGGGTTTGGAATTCGACAGTCCTGGTGACACAGGTGTATCCGTGTGCACAACTCTCAGAACTGTGTGGCCTCCCACATTCAATTGTATGACAGATTTACAAAGAAAAAAAAGAGATTGTGGACACCTGTACCTTCTGGGTGCTTCCTGGGTTCCAGGCCTGGCACTAAGTGCTCCGTGTTATTGCATAAGAATCCTGGGAACACCAGACAAGTCGGTCTGACCATTCCCGTTTTACAGATGAGGAAACTGAGGTGTCAGGACGTGCCTGGGCGTGTCTGACTGTGGAACTCTCGCTTCCAGCCACTGCGCAGGTCCGAGCCTCTAAGAATCAACTACTGTGTTCACACTGTGATTCCGCACGTTGAGAGCTGGGTGTGGGCAGCAGGACTCACTTGATGGAGGCTTCGTGGAGCCTGGGAAGATGCCCGAAGCCCCTCCAGGGGCCTCTCCGAGTGTGGACTCGGACACCCGACAGATCATCAGGGGGAGGCCCAAAGCGGAAATGCCAAGGGATGGACGGGCGCGCATCCCGGGACAGCCGGAGCCATCTGGACGCCGGGCCGGCAGAGCGGCTTCCTAGCCCCACGGGGCTGCCACAGGCCCTGCCGACGGGGCAGCCCAGAGCCAGGGCCGTCCCCACCCCCAGAGCATCGAGGAGGGGAGTGCTGGCCACAGGAAGCCTCCTGCAGGCTCGCCATTGGGCAGGGGACCTGGGAGCGCTAGAGAGAGTGACGCTCCGTGGGGTGGCCGGGGGGACCCTGGGCCTGGCTGAGATCTCAGCCAAGGGGAGAGAAAGCAGTCACATCAGGACTAGACATAGGACCCTCCAGATGGCCAGTTAGAGTCGAGGCCCAGATACACTGGGGGCCCGTGGGATTCTGCCCCGCCGTCCGAGAGGCCCTTTGCCCAGCGAGGAGCCCAGCGGCCGAGGGCCTCCAGTAGTTGCTTTCACGAGGGCGTCCTCCGCCCTTGCCAGCCTCCTGCCGTTCCTTCACCCACCAGCGTCTGCCTGGGCCACCGGGGGCGGGGACCCTGTGCTCTGAGATCAAACTCCTCCTCACTCAGGACCTGCTGGAAGCTGCCGATCCCCGATCCCCCGGAGTAGGCCCACCCCCTCCCAGCAGCTCCTAATGGGGGTCGGGCTACATGCTGCAGACCCATGATGCCTTTGCCACCACAAACAGCCCTCCGAGGCGGGTCTGTCCCCACGCCAGCACCATTTTTCGGGGGAGGAAGCAGAACCCAGTGTCTGGGCCACTCCGAGAGACCCAGCCAGTCTTGGGGACCGCACGCAGCCTGAGCCCAGAGCCCTGCCCTTGCCCTGGTTTCTTCTGCTGCCCCAGAAGGTTGGTTTCCTTCATCCTCTGGGCCGTCATCGTGACCTTCTGCAAGCTTGGTGCTCCCCTCGCCATGGGGTGCTGGGGGCTCACCTCCCCGCCCACCGAGCTGTCTCCAGGCCTCAGGCAGCAGGAGGCTCTGAGCATCTCCGGCCTCCCTGGTCTGCCTGTGAAGATCATGCTCTCCCGCAGCTTGCTGGCTGGGCTCCCCTCACCCCTCCCAGCCCGTCTTCCATGCTCCCCCAGCCTCCTCCCATTTGCTTCCCCCCCCCCCAACCATTGGCCTTTGTTTCCGTGGCCTGTTCTTCTGCCCCCAAATGCCTGCATCCTGCTTTGGGGGCAGCCCCTGCATTTGGGGTGCCTCCAGTCAAACGGCATCTGGGAAGGCCTCTTTGACTTTCTATCAACCCACCAGCAAGGCTGCCCGTCCCCCTAGACAGAGAGCTCCCAGAGGGTGGGCACCACGTGGGGCCAGCCTCCTATCCACATCTCCCGGCAGCCCCGGGGGGGGTGGGGGGGGGGGGGGAGTGAGGGCCAGGTAACCGGCTTGACATGAGAGAACAATTGTGACAGTTCAGCTGAATCCAGCGTCCCTCTCCCACCGTGGGCGTGAGCGAGACCCATGCTTATTTTCTTTAGTGACAAAGGCGGGACACCGGTTGGACGAATTTGGGCAACATACAAGCAAGGTTGACGCCGGCCCCCGCGGTCCCTCCCCCTGGGTGCCCCGTGATGGTTTCTGTGTCCTCCCGAGCCTCTGCTCTAAGATTCTTTCTCTTTCTCCCCGCACGTAGCTTTGTTTTACAAAAATTCTGTCATCCGGTGCACGTTCTTTCCTCGCTTTTTTTTCTCTCTCAAAATGCCGTGACCGCCCCCACCCCCACCCCCGGCACGGCCTCCCCAGCCACCTCATTCGTTTGGTGGCTGCAGAATGTTCCAGCATCCGATGGAGCATGACTGACTCACCTCTTCCCCTCGGGATGGGCATTTAAGTTGTCTCCAATCATTTCATCCTTATAAATAACGTTGCCGTGGACATTCTGTCACAGCCTTGTGCCGCCTGCAGTGGTTTGGGGGGGGGGGCGTGCGGGGGCGGTCCCTGGGAGGGATTACTGCAGGGTCTGTGTGCTCTAAACGGGCACTGGGGTCTGTCTCCCATTTCGGTTTTAGGGAGCACCGCTCCTACCCTTTCAATGACCTCCTCCATGCTCACAGTCCCTTCCCACTTCGGTCCCCGACAGCTTTAACGTGAGACCCCAAGATCGACAGGGAATCTAAGTCTGGGGCTGGAACTATCCAGAACCATCCGCCCCCCACCTCCTCTGACCCAGACAACCCAACAGCCCCAATGTGAAGCCTGCCCCCTGCTTCCCAAAGTAGAAGCACAGAGGGCAGGGACCTGCCCCAGCTGCCTGCGGGCTCTGGAAACAACAGGGATCGGGGCCTCCGATTCTATCCCCCAAGGTGGGGCTCACGCAGGAAGACAGCTGCCAGCTGCGTTACCCCAGGCCTCCGGGCTGCCTTGGAGAAGACCGGGCTTCATTCCCTTCAGTTCCATAGCTTGGGGGGTGGGCCTATTTACAGACCCCGGAGGGAAGGGGTGGGCAGACAGAGGGGCCACAGAGGCTCTTTGGGGGAGCCAGGGACAGAGGGAGCCAGCCTGCAGCTGGTGGGGAGAGCAGCTGGGCGCCGCTCGGACTTTGGGACTTTGGCCCTTGGCGTTCCCACCCCCCCCCACCACCCCCCCCGCCACCCCATGACAGCTTTTCTATTTTAGGCGGCTGGCTCCTCCTTGTTGCAGCCAGCCCGGGAAACCCAGAAAGGTGGGTGCTGGGGGGCTGGGCCCCTATGCACTCATGCTCACCCCATGGGCTTCCGGGCGTAGGTGAGGGCCGCACCCCAACGGCAGGGCTCCTGGACCTTATCCCACAGAAGCGTTCATAGTCACCAGGCCCCGGGGACAGCCCAAAGGGGCAGCCAGCACTCTGAGCGCCAGGGGAACAGACTGGAAAGTGCTGGGATTATTGGCATCTGTGGGAGCAGCGTCCGCAGAGGGGAAGGGCCCCCCGCGGGTCGGTACCCTGTACCGGGTGGGCTCTGGGGGCGGGACGAGCGGGGTCCAGCCCCAGCCCCATCATTTCCCCGCAGCGTGGCCTGGGGCAAGGCAGGGGCCCCCCCTGAACCTCCATTTTTTTCCTCATCTGTAAAGATCAGAATAGCTCACGACCATGTCTGGGAATTCACAAGGCTGTATTTGACGTCCTTAGACGAGGGGACGGCACACAGTAGGCGCTCAGTAAGAACAGCTGCGGGGGTTTTAATAACACGGACAAATGGAAACAGTTGGACGTGACAGGGGAGTGCAGGGGGGAGCACTAGCGGCCCCATTTACATTCCTTAAAAATGACCCGGTAAACCACTGGTGCAGAATACCCCCCCCCCCATTCCAGAGCCTTGGAAAACCCCGTTCGTTTCGTCTCCCGATTTCCATGTGGCCGCTCAGGTCACAGGAGCTGCTTTTTTTCTCACTCGTGGGGACCCTTCTCTAACCAAGGGGATTAGCCCAGCGGAGGTGGGGAGGGGATTTGCAGACCGGAACAGGTGGGGCCTGGCATTGGAAGTCTGAGCCGCATTCCGGGGATTCCTGCTAGATGACCCGCCCAGCCTGGCCTGGGGGGGGGGGGTGCCCTGGACTGGTGCCCTGCACCCAGCACCACCTGGAGGGGGCCCTCCCCGGAGACGTCCAGGCCTGGAGGAGGGTGGAAGCTGAGAGCAGACAGATTTAGTTGTGGGGGCTTTGGGGCAAGGTAGGTTAGGCTTAAATCCAACAGGAAGTGAAAGTGAATGTTCCAGGATTCATTCGTTCAGAGGGTCTTTATTGGGTACCTACTGAGTGCCGCTCCCAGCAGGCACTGCGGCCCTAACGGGTTCACCCTGCTCCCATGACCCCATATGAGGGCGGTGGAAAAGTGAATGGACTCTGATGAGGGCCACGGTGCTGGTAGGGACTGGAAGGGACGGAATGTGGATTGACCCCAGTGTCCTCAAGGAAGGGACAGTGCAGGGGACCGTCCTGGCTTCCGTGGAACAGGGGGCTGCCGGGAATGGGGGCTTTCAGTTCTAAACTCAGACAGTGCCAGGCAAACTGGGCTCTCAGTCACCCTTGGGAGGGTGGCACCAAGAGGGGAGGTGATACAGGGCAAACGAGGCTGAGGTGCTTAATAGCAGGAGGAGGGAGGAGGGAGTGAAGGACGGATGTCCAGGAGGTGCAGACTGGGCAAAGGCCGAAGGAGGAGGGAATGTGACATCAGGACCCGGTGTGACCTGCTCCCTCTGTACCTGGGAAGTAGACCGGGGAGGGAGAGAAGGATTGTAGGACGAGAAACGGCTTTCCGGATGCTGGGGTTGGGAGTGGATTTTCGGCCTCAGGTCAGCTGAAGGCCCACCGGTACCCACGGGATGGTGGGCAAAACACCTGTCCTGATGGACCACGGGCAGGGATGGGGGAAAAGAGAGGAGAGCCCAAGGAGGGGAAATGGGGACAGAAGTCTCCCAAACCAGCTGCCCCGGGATAGTTACCTGGGGGGAAGGGAATTAACACAAACCCCACTGACCTGGGCTGGCGGGAGCCTTGGGGGTCTCCAGGCAGTGACAGCGACTCCCTGGAAAATGGTGGCCCAGCAGAGGTGGGCCGTCTAGTCTGGAAAGCTGGCGAACAGTTCCTGGAAGCCCTGTGTCCCTCTTCTTCTGCAACCCTCCCTCATCAACTGCCATCGGAATCCAGAGCCCTGGGCTTGGCCATTAAAGGGCCAGCACTTCCATCCCCCACCCGCCCCCCCAGCCCTCTGGGGGCTACACAGAGCGTCTCAGCATCCCTGCCACGCGGTCTGTTCCTTTGCCACCTCCCGGCAAGCCCTGCGGATTTGGCAGTGCACTGTTCCTGGTGAAATGCTTATCACCGGGTGACCAAATACGGTCTTTCAAGTCCTAGAAGAAGGTGACGTTCTTAGTTTCAGCTCTGCCACTGTCATAGAGCCTTGCTGACTGCTTCTGTGGACACAAGTTGCTGTCTCTTCTTTTAAGACCCTCGGTGCTTGCTTCTCCCTCATTCACTCGTCCATCCACCCAGCGTTTATCCGTGTATCCTTCCATCCCTCGTCCATCCATCCATCCACCTGCCATTGTGTATTGTGTCGTCTGCCGGTTGGGAGTTTGGGCTCTGCCTGGAGCCAGTACTGAATTCCACAGTGGTGCCCGTGGGCACTTGGGCGACTTCTCAACCTGAGACTCGGTTTCCTCATTGTGAAAAAGAATAAAGGCGCCCACTGCACAGGCTTGTTGTGAAGGTGCGGGAAATACCATGCGACAAACTTACCAGAGGATAGAGCCCCCAGGCGCTCTCCCTCTCTCCCTCCTGTCTCCCAGTGCCACCTGCCATGAGTACTATGAGGAGCCTGGTGGAGGGACCTGGGCCAGTGGGGAGGGTGCCCAGACAGGTTCAAACTCTCAGGTTGATGAGACAGCCTTGAGAAATGTTGTCTCTTATAAGCATTGTTCGCGGAAACAGGTTCATTTACCAATTAGCTGCCGTTGGCCAAAGGATGGTCGATATGCTGGAAAACAAAACAAAACAAAATCTCCCAAATGCTCTTCCCTTCTCTGTGGTTTTTATTCTCTCTTCCATTTCCACCTGTGATTTTTCTGAGCCCGAACACATTTCGGGAGGGATATAAAAGGATTTAAAATTTCGACAATAAAGAAAATCACCTTTTACTAAATTGCCTTACCTGCTGTGTTATTTGTTTCTAGTATTTTAGCTGTGACCGCAAGGATTGCTTGCAAGAACACTTAACAGAGAGGAGTTTCTCATTTTCATTAGAAGGGTCTATCTCCTTGGGCAAGACCAACTGACTTGGGAACCTGGTTTGAGTTCTGAGATCTGGAACCTTATCCAGCTGTCCAGAGGGTGGGAGGGCTGGGAGTATTTTTGATTTAGGGAAGGGATCTGGGGTGCACAGACTGGGGGTGGTGCCAGGCTAAAGGGGGTACTTTGCCATCAGATTTTGGATTTGGATATGAGAGCAATGGGAAGCTGGCTGTGAGTCTAAAATCAGGAGAGGGGACAGATTGGAGTTGGGGTTTGGGCTCTGTCTGTGCTTCAGAAAGGTTTAGAAAAGGCCCGCTGGAAGGCCCTGGGGCAGGGATGGAGAGAAATGGGTGGCTGATACAGCCGAGAGGTGATGGATGGGTGTCCACGAGGGGCTGATTCTGGTCCAGGTGGCCAGGTGCAGGGAGATGTCGTCTTTCATCCCCAGCCGGTTTTGTTAACATCTGTAGTCACAGCCAGAAGACTCCATGGCACCTGGCCCAGGGTGACTAAGGCTTCCCAGGCACAGAGATCCACACAGAGCCATGCTAGCGCCAGACAGAGACTTCGTGCCCCTGCGTCCTCATCTGGAGGCGCCTGCAGACAAGCTCCTGTATCTGTGACAACCACACACTTGGTTCCCTGGGCATTTCCATATCAAATGCTATTCTTTTGTTTGCGTAGGTTCCTGCGACATATTTGGTGTTTCCATCTTTAGTTGGGAAATAAGATTGCACGTTATGCTGCCTGGGTTGGGGTCGCGGAGCTGGGGAGACCAAGACCGCCTCCAAGACCGTAAGACTCACGCGGGTAGCGGGTGGGGGGCAGCGGGTGAGAATGCACAGGACTTGGGACCAGAACACGGGCTCCAACAGGTTCTCCGTTTGCCCCAGCCCTCCCCTCCGAGGTTCCCCTTCCCCGTTTGTAACTGACGGTGACACGCTGTCTGGGACCCCACCTTGCAGACAGCAGCAGAGAGGCCTGCACGCGGGGACTGCTGGTACGGACCGTCCCTGACCGTGGCTTCCCGCGGGCACCGGCACCCCTGGCCTTGTGGGGTCAGGGTCCTCGCTTCCGGGGGGGGGGGGGGAGCGGAAAGGGTCCCTGTGTGCCGAGGTGCCGGGCATGCGTGGAGCGATCAGCCCGGGCCGGCTGCTGTGCACGCGCTTGGCTGCCGCTGTCAGGTGCGGGAGCGACGGGGAAGCGGAGCGGCGACCCTAGAGTGAGGGTCTCGGGAGAAACGGCCGCCCCTCGACTCCTAGGGGGAGGGGCGCCGCTGCAGGCCGGGCTCAGGAGGTGAACTTTCGAGGGGCACACTAGCACTTTCCTGGAGGTATCATCATACTTCCGTTTTTGGATTGCAGTAGAAAGACCTGCACTGGCCAACTTTGGGGTTACCGCTTCGGAGGCGAAGGCACGCTCGGTGAGCCGATCCTTTAAGGCGTCTGGCCTGCCCGAGGTATCCTGACCCTCGCCGCTCCCCGTAGTACCCCTCAGAGAGGCCGGCTTTGTGCGCTCGCCCCGCCTCGCCGCCGCCCCGCCCCTCGCGCACGCGCAGGCGCACCGCCGGCGCCCCCC